GTGGACAAAACCTATACCCAGATGGCTGGAAACAACTCCTCAGGAGTACACTTGCAATATGGAGCATTGGACATTTGTGAAGACACGATTAGAAAAAGTTTCATCTGGGCAGAGTTACTCAGGGATTATTAAAGGAGCTACTGCCTTCCTGCTGTCTCCACCAAATGTGGCTGATGGCTCATGACACGTAGCAGGGAAAGGCTATGCCAGTACATCCTCCTTCAAGACCGCACTGCAGTACAGCCAGCTGGGAATATCCTGTAACTTTGTCTCCGGGTCATACAGATGGGCTGAGAGAAATTGCAGTTCAAATCTAACTTGGGCTGAGCAGAGATTAAGGATTTCTGGCAGTTTTAGTTTAACAGACACATTGGAGAAGAAATTTTGAGACTTTGTTTTCTTTTGCTGAAATGCAAACAAATTAAAACAAAGTGAAACCTCAAATTTCTACTTGATATCCAATGGTTGCCTTGAAACCCAGGTACTTCTTACATCCTTCTTTTCAGCAATTCAGTGTATTGTTACTCTGTCAAGTGGTTCTCCACATAGTTATATTGCCTTCAGAAGAAACAAAACAACATTCACCAGATTATGTAGGTCTTTATACCGATACGTAATCTCCCCTTTCAACAGCTGTAAATGAATGATAAGTTGTCACCAATGAGCAATTAGTGTGAGACATTCGGTAATATTCATACAGCAAAGCACAAGCTTCCAGCTAGTTTTACTAAGTAGAAGCTGTATCAGCCAACCTGACAGGATCAGAGCATATCGATATTTTATATTGATACAGCAGGCGTCATCTAATGATCTCCTTGCAACGATTTAGATTTTACAGCCCCATTTCAGCTATGAGTCAGTGTTGACCACCTCTTAAGTTAGGAACAGCACAGCTTTCTGAAACAAAAAAGCAATAAAGTAGGTAAACTTCTAGCCCTTTTAGCTATACACAAACATTTAAAAAGGAAAACTTAAAGATCTCAAAGTCCTGAGGGACGTAAGAGAATACTAAAACCCTGTCCTAAGGACAGAGAAACAAAGCTTCAAAGTTAAACCATGCAGGGGAATGTGTTTCCCACTTTGCCATCTGAAATGTCTGGAGTGGTGTATTTTCCACAGTAACCTAGATTTTAACACCTCTACACTCTGTGGATCAGAGGTAACCTGGTCACTTGCCACCTTGCCCCTACCTTGAATCCTGCAGTGACAGACCACCCTGTCCCCCTCAAAAGGATGGGATACAGACTCCTCAGGTTGAAACTACCAATCTTGTGACAGATCAGTACGGTGTACACCGTCACAGATTGTGAGTGTGGAGGCTACCCTGGGGTGCTGCCTTCCTGCCTCTGTGACAGTCCACTCCACTACTCTCCCTTAAGTCAAGGGCAATGGTTCTTTTTGAGAAGCGTACAATGCAGAGCTTCCCCTACAGTTATTTAACAGCCCAGATGTTCAGGACAAGCACCATGTTGTGCTTGTCCTCATTTCATCCAGGGATTTGACTTTTATAGAAAAACCTTCAACATATGGCTGGACAGTACACTTCTATTTTCCTTCTTATTTAAAAAAAAAAAATCTAAGAAAAGGATTACTGCCAATAAAACAGAAACACTGCAAAAATTTGAAATTATAATTCTACACATGCTTCTGAAAGCCTCTTTGGCTTTCCTCTTTGTGCTCTGAATGGCTCTCAAGCGCTAATTTAATTCAGTGAAACAAATCCAAAACTGCCAGGAAAAAATAATCAACTTTCTCTTTAGTTAGAATTAAAATTGTACAGAAGGAATTCTTGATCTTCATTAATTCCATGGGCAGGCATACAAGCTCCTAGGTGTTAATGAGACTTGCCAGTTTAGGTGAATTGTAGAGTCTAATGAAATGTCAAATGAGTCCACTTCGGATTTTCACTATCAGATATTTCCAACATCAAAGTTTGGCGATGAAACCAAACGATTCCTTCAAGCCCTGTGTCCAGGGACATGGAGAAAATTGTTCTTCTGGTCTGGAATTATGGTACTGGCTCTCATGGTCAGTGTGACTTGTAGAAACTATTGTGAGGGGAAAAATACCCAAATCCTTCCCCTAGTGTACATTTTCCACATCCAAATTCTATTTAATTTTTCCTTAACTATATACAAAACTATCCTCTGTACCCTATGGTGGTTTATATTAGAAAAGCAGACAAAAATTTACCCCTCTAGAAAGCAAGCTTCCAGATATACTGAAGCTTTAGAGCTTTTGTCAGGGTCTGCTCTGAATCACCTTCATGCCTTATCACTTAGTAAAACAAGAGAACTCAGCTTCTTCATAAATCCTAATTCACTGTTAAACGCCTGCTATGCTTGTTCTCATTCTTGTGTGCAATATTAGGTGCCAGATCAGAAACTCACAAAATTGGATCATTAAGGCATGAAGGCTTGCTATGGCAAATTCTATGTGTTGTCTTTTCGAGTTTCCTTTTAAGAAGAAAAATTTATAAAATAAAATAAAAGGTCAAGGGTTTCCAAAAAAGAAAGGACTGAAAAGTTAGACATGTAATAAAAAAATAATTTAACTTAATATAAAATTTTAACAAGCCATATAATATTTTCAGGGAAGGAAGCATTTAATGACATCAAGTCTGTAAAATTATCTCAGTTCCAGATTTCTGAGTCCCAATGGTGGAAACAGACAGCCAGATAAAACGATCACTATATTCAGTCCAGAATGAAATTCCACTGTTTCTAAACATAAAAAAAAACCAAACACCACCACAAAAAAAAACACACACCCACAAAAAGGAAAACAAAAACGTATAAGAATCTGAAGCAAAGTGAGTCTAATACAACTTTATAAGTGACAGGTGAAGCAGAGCCACACTTGACAACTTTACAACCATCTTTGGGACAAAGTTGCCTTTCTGAAGGAGGAAGGATTTCATTAGCTTTCCCTAAATCAAACCATGATAAAACAATGACAGTGGCAGTGCAATAGATTTTAAAACTGCAGAACTTAACCTCCCTGTACATGCATCTGTTGTGGTTTAGTCCAAATGGAAACTAAGCACCATGTGGCCACTCACTCACTCCTCCTCACTGTGGGACGGTGAGGAGAAAAATATACTAAAAGGCTTGTGGGTTGAGACAAGGACAGGGAGGGATCACTCACCAATTACGGTCACAGGAAAAACAGAATCGACTTGGAGAAAAAAAATCTATTTAATTTTTTACCAATCAAATCAGATTAGGACAATGAGAAATAAAATCAAATCTTAAAAAACACCTTCCACTCATCCCTCCCTTCTTACAGGGCTTAACTTTATTCCCAAATTCTCTACCTCCTCCCCACAGCGGCGTAGGGGGATGGGGAATGGGGCTTGTGGTCAGTTTGTCACACATTATCTCTGCCATTCCTTCCTCTTCAGAAGGAGGACTCCTCACACTCTTCCCCTGCTCCAGTGTGGGTCCCTCCCACGGGAGACAGTTCTCCATGAACTTCTCCGACATGAGTCCTTCCCACACACTGCAGCTCTTCATGAACTGCTCCAGCATGGGTCCCTCCCATAGAGTGCAGTCCTTCAGGAACAAATTGCTCCAGCATGGGCTTCCTGTGGGGTCATGGTCTTCTTCAGGCACAGCCACCTGCTCTGCTGTGGGGTCCTCGATGGGCTGCAGGTGGATCTCTCTCCCCCATCATTAACCTACATGGGTGGCAGGGTGACAGCCTGCCGTCTCACCATGGGCTTCAGGGAAATCTCAGCTCTGGCACACCTCCTCCCGCTCCATCTTCACTGACTCCCTTCATCAGGTGAAGGGTGGCAGCCCAGCACAAACAGTCACCTACTCCACGCCTTCCCTCTCTCTCTGCTGCAGCTCCTGCATGGTGCAAGCTTTTCTTTTTTGTTCTTAAACATGTTATTTACAGAGGTGCTGATTGGCCTGGCCATGGCCAGAGGCGGGTCCCACTTGGAGCCAGGGAAGCTTCTAGTAGCTTCTCACAGGGGCCACCACTGTAGCTCCTTCCCCTGCTACCAAAACCCCACTACACAAACTCAACACAGCAGCCCCACTGCCTGCAACATGCTCAGGAAAAAAGGGGCAGCCCTTCTCCCCTTTTCCTGCTGCACCACAACTGTCCTCATTCACAGTCTTTATGTTCTGGAACCAAAATCTGCTTTTGCAACACAGCATTTAACCAAGGTGTTAACCAAGGAAAAATTTAAGACAAAACCAGAAGTCTACTTCATCACCCTTAAAACACTGCCTTTTATATTCATGAACAATATGTTTCATTTACCACCACATACTGTCATGCTACCAGGGCTATTGATCCTCAGAATTAGAGACTATAGCTACCATTCATTAACAATTCACTAACAATTTACATTTTCCATATGAAAAGAAGACTTTCAGTCTTCTCCATAAACACCTGACCTGGCACTGCTACCACACAGAGTCCTACTGACAGCACCTGGCACCGCCACACATCCAACCTGCGACACAGCAAGTGTCAAGTCTGCATTAAAATTTTAGGAAAAGCCTTGAGCATTTTTAGTGTAAATGGTAAATCATCCCACAACTCGTACTGCAGCTCCAGCCTTCTTCAGCCTAGGAGCAATTTACCACCCACCTTCCCCAGCACGAGCGCTGTTGTCCTGTCCAGCAAGCGTGCATAAGACACAGAGTTAATTTCCACATTTCCTGGAGAAAGTATGTAGGTGATTAGCCTCATTTACCCTGGTGTGCCTGAATCAAAGCCAACCAGGCACAGAAGTGTACAGGTCATTTTGAGTGCCCTGAGCATCCTCATGGTCTGAAAACAATGTCGTCCTGAGGGCCTAAACTTGTATTACACAGACAGTTGGTGACATAACCCATTTAGATCAAAACACCCCGTAGAGTCACTCAGGTCTGCTCTCTCACTACTACAGCAGATCCGAAACCCAAGCCGTTTCTCTAAATGCCAAAACAAGTCTTAACCAGAAAGATCTGAGGCCAAAGGCACCTGCAGTTCAGACCTACCCAGATGGTGTCGTCTTGTCTGTACTGTTTCCAGTTGCGGCCGGTGTCGCTGAACATCAGCGTATAGCTGGTTACCCAGTCTGAGCTCCCGTACCTGCCCTGGGTAGCGACTGCAACGATCTCCACTCTGTCTCCCAGATCAACCTGGAGCCATTGCTGCTCATTTGAGTCCAGCGGGGACCAGCCACCAGCTCCTGGAAGAGATCGGATAAAGATAATTTAGATGACAATGACAGCACAAGAAATTATACGTGAGAAAGAATGATGTTATTTCAGGTCATCACAGAGGAGTCTACTTCCTGAACACACAGTTGTTTGTTCATATTTTTGTATTAGGAAATATGCTACATGGGGTATGTTTCCTTAAATTTTTCTGAATTACCCTAAAGTTAAAGAGGATTTTTGAATTTCTAAGAAATTTTAAGGAAACCTATTCTTTATCAGCAGGACAAATGTCAGTGAAGTTGGCACGCTCTCAGTTAAAAAGAATAAGTTGTATCTTATTCCCTCCTTGCATGCTTGTGCGAATCTGGGAATGCTGATTTATGACTCCTAATTTGCTTTAACATTTTCTTTTTTGTTATGTTTTGAAAGACATGCAAAACTGTTAGTTATCTTGATTTGCACCCTAATAAGTATTTGAAAGAAGCGTTTAATTATAGATTGTAAATGCACTTCACATAATATGTTGTAAAGCTAAAGACTATTTGATCAAACAACCAAAAGAACTGCCTTCGCACTGGAACGTAGCCTCTTCCTTACACACGATGCTTGTTAAGTGAACATGTATTCTATTTTAAACAAAACAAACGAGATCTTCATAAGGACCAACACGAGTTGCAAATTATCAACTTCCATGATCCAATTCTCCATTCAGGAATGGAGACTTCAGAATTCATGATCATATGGAAGCTAATAGCTTTTAACTCATGTTTGTCCTTTAAAAGTAAAGATATTTACTATCCCTTGAATTCTTTTAGGGATTAAACAGGCTCACAGTAATGCCAACCCAACGAAACAGAACCACAATCATTGCTTCAATTTCATCCCTTCACTCGTTACTATAAATATGAGTTTATAGTTAAAAAGGCAAATCCTTCCAGAGTCAAACATATTATGTCTGGAGTCCCCACCACAAGAAGGACATGGAGCTGCTGGAGTGGGTCCAGAGGAGGGCCACAAAGATGATCTGAGGGCCGGAACACCTCTGCTATGAAGACAGGCTGAGAGAGTTGGGGCTGTTCAGCCTGGAGAAGAGAAGGCTCCGGGCTGATCTTATTGCAGCCTTCCAGTACTTAAAGGGGGCCTACAGGAAAGCTGGAGAGGGACTTTTTACAAGGGCATGTAGTGATAGGACAAGGGGAAATGGCTTTAAATTGAAAGAGGGCAGATTTAGATTAGATATAAGGAAGAAATTTTTCACTCAGAGGGTGGTGAGGAACAGGTTGCCCAGAGAAGCTGTAGATGCTCCATCCCAGGAATTGTTCAAGGCCAGGTTGGATGAGGCTTTGGGCAACCTGGTGTAGTGGAGGGTTTCCCTGCCCATGGCAGGGGGGTTGGAACTAGATGATCTTTGAGGTCCCTTCCAACCCAAACCATTCTATGATTCTATTATATGTTCTCTTGCTTTCTTTTACACCTTATTTATAATAGGCTATTGTTATTATTATAGGCTATGTTTATTTTCTTTTAACTTGTTTCTACTTGCACACATTTATTCTCCATATACACCCATTGTTCACTTTAGCCTTACGAATAAGTAAACAATGCAGCTATGAAGAACACAGAAGCCCTTAACGAAGTATCTAGAGCAGCAAATTTTCAGGTTGTCACTGCTTCTGCATCATCGTGCACGTTTTGCCATTGTTAATGAAGTTTACAAAAGCACCTCTGCGTGGTTACAGTGAACACAATCACATTGGGAAGGAAAGGGGGAAATACTGATCTGAGTGTAAAGTATTAACAGTTCTTCACGTAAACTGCAAGAATGATTCCAAATACGCATATCCAAAGAAAAAGCATCAATAAACTTTGGTTATAAGCACATGGGTTTACTTTAATATTTTAATCTTATTAACTGATCTGTCTCAAAGTTGCTCCATGAATAGTTTATTGAAGTGAACCGAGTTGAAAGATCAATAGATGTGGCTTATATCAAAGACGTCAATTTCAGTAACTTTGCTTTTTAAATAAAGTCTTGATTTTCCTGGACCACATTGGATTTGCCAACTCGCATTTGAAATTTCTTTAACTAAGAATAGGTGTTACAATTTTCACTATTTACAGTTCATTAAAGTAGGATTTAGTCCCAATTCCTGCAACAGAAGCATGTGCATTCCATAGATAGAATTGAGTATCATCCCCACTCCCCTGGATGACTCAGTCTTCACTTCTCTACTAGAACTCTTCAGGGAAAATAGTTTGTAACAAAACTGATGAGTACTACTTGCTAGTGCCATGCTTTATTTTTACCCTTTTCAATTACAACAGAAGTCTTCATCGTCATTGTGATTATTTTACCTGCCTTAATCAGAATACTCTCTCTCATGAGCATGCCATGAAAGACCTAACGAGAATATTAGGAATTTCATCACTCAATTCTTCTCTCACTACTTAATATCTCTCTTTTAATGCCATACAGATATACATCTTAGAGAAGTCTATAGTACTTCTCACTAAAAATCCTAATGATGTTTCTTCCTCACTGACCCTTTTTTTCTTTCTTAATTTTAAATGCCATATAAAGAATATTTCTGTCTGGCTTTTAAGATACAAACTATATCACTGTGTTTCAAGACAACAAGCTGCGTACTTCTCCTACACAGAATTGTGACTAATGTACACAGGAGCCAAAGGAATCTTTCCTTTGGACGGTAATACCCAATATCTGAAATAGACTCTGAAACATTATAGTTGCTGTTTCGTTTACAGTTTTATTCCAGGAACTGGCAGGACACAGAAATTGAATTCAGAAGTTCTGGCAGGTCTGTGGCACAAAGTTGTTTCCTTCAACACTCCAAAGAGCTTATTCTACATGTTTTCAGTAAACATTAAAAAAGGTGGGAACTTTCATCTTTCCTTCATTGTCTCTTCAATCAGTCTTTCTACAACATAAACAGCAACAACTAGATGGAGGAAAATCACTTAAAACAAGTAATTTGTTTGATGAGTTTACCATTTAAAAAAAAAAATAATCTTTGCTTTCTCTGTTCTAGTTTATGTGTAAGTTCTTAAGCCAAGCTTATTACCACAGGTACTTTCCAGTAGTCTGTTAATCATCATAATTAGCATTTGCTCTATGTAGTTTATGCTCTCTCCCTTTTGCTGCTAGAAGTGGCAGAAATGCAATATGCTTTCCACAATCACATTTTGCTTTACTATGCACTGCTATTTTCCAGTTTGAGCATGGCACGACAGGTTTATATTTTTGAAGTCAAACAAACGATACACACTGAATGGAAGTTTGGGAGATCTGTGGTGAGCTTGAGCTCTCAAATCTCAGATTACGCTACAACTCTGAACTGCATCTCTCTTCACAGGAGCATATTTGTCTGTTGGGAACGTCAGTCGAGATGTAAGCACTGCATGACACAGCAGTGACACCTGCTCGTAGCATCACCTCTCCAGAAGCTGGTCTTGCAAGAGAGATGTTATCGTTACAGACGATGTCTTTACAGAACAGCAGCTGCTTCATACACCTTCCCCTGGGAAAAAACCCACTGTATTTCCGTCTCCCAAACCTTCCAGCATTACCATTTCCACAGATGGACAGTAATTCTACTGACTTGTAAGGACGGCAGTTAAAATCCCTGCAACAACAAAGCTGCACTGGCTGCATGACTGAGAGCAGAATGAAAGATTTTCCCGTCGGGGCTCTCTCACTTCTGCTAGTAAAGTATTAAGCAAACACATAACTTCTGACTTTTGTGTGTATGCTAAATCCTCACCAAATACTGCTGTGAGTACCCCAAAAATAAATAAATATTCTTTTTCCTCCATGTTTGCTCTGTTATACAGAGCAGGTGGCACGAGGGATACTGTCATCTTTTTTCAAAACAATCCGTGTCCGTGCATTTCTTTTATGTACATCATTCCTAATAGCATGTCACACTTCACCTCGTACTTTTTTTAGCATCAAAAAAAACACATCCAAAGGATGGCAACTCTTTTGTAACCATTTGTTCCTCTACCCACCCGTGGTGTTCACCTTGAGCAACACTTGTCAGGGCAGGCCCAAGACAAGAGACAAGAACTTAGGATGCAAAGGCTCTAATAGGAAACGAGGACTACTGAAGATACAATATTTACAGCACATTGACTCCTTTGAACAGGTACAAGCATAAGCCTGACAGTGTTTTCCTGCAGTTGGGCACAAGGAAATTGAAGAGGACTTCAAGTCTTTTATTGGTAGCATGGCATAAACATAAACTAGTCAAAATGTGGCTCTGATTACACCCACCAGATCTGTACATTTGTTTTTAAGTAATCTGGAAAGTACTAATGTATGAAGATGTCACACATGCCCCTCTCAAGAAAACAGGAGAGAGGATACTCAAAGTCAACACACGGCTTGGCACTTCGCATGCCCCTCAGAAACGATGTTGTAGTTTCCCCGTTCTGCCCATCAGATTCCTATTCGGCACTGATAGGATTCTGTGCATTGTGAAAAGACTATACACCATCATTCCTCATAGTTCACACATTTTGCACTTTCTGTAGACCATTTCAAGGCAGAGGTTCACCATGGTATGGAGAAAACATCCTACTGCAGAAACAGTGCCACAGAGATACGTTGCTCGTATTCTTCATGGTAACAAACCATAATGCTAGAAATACGAGGAGAACGAAGATCAGATGGTTTCTCAGCTGGAGATCCGTATGACTCCAAGAAATACAATCAAATACTATTTTTTCTTTTTCAGACCCTTTGAGAGTTTTGCCATAATTAATCCAAAAATTGCACTTAAGCCCAGCATTATGAAGTCAGTGCTCCCTGATGTTCCACAGGGCTGCTCAAGATGCCCATGCGTATTCGTAGTTTATTAATCCAAAGCAAAGGGAATGCCTATTTCCACCCTACAGTGCCTTACAAACAGCTCAACTGGCTTTACATTGTGCTATGAACTCTTGGACTTCCTGCTGCAACTAAGTGGTTCCCTGCTGCAGAATTTTTCTTTAATGCCCAGATCAAACACTTCCTGGCCATAAAATAAATTCTTTTTGACATTATAGATGTTTTATATTCCCATACATAATTGCCTGTGCTGACTACTCAGACTGTGAGCTAATAGAGAACGGAAAAATCTCAGTTGACGCAGTTATATTGCAGCAATTTTCTTATTCTTTTTAATTATTTATTTACTGTAAACAAAAAGCTGATTAATCCCTTTCATGGGTAAGTAGTATGTTTCATACCTCACAGTCATATTTATCAGAATTATACTAACTGCTTTACTATTACCAGATTTATCAGTATTTTAATTGAATGCTTTCAGCAGTTCATACAAAGCTTTACTCATGGCTAGTTTGTGTATTGTTTTTTTTTTTTAATGGCACATTTCACTGCTGCAGGCCTTTTTTTAAGCTACAGCCTTTTAGTTATTGTTATCTGTTACAGAATCAACTCGAATTAAGACTTTCTATTGATGTAGGTCTGGATTGTATTTTATAAATTCATTTTCACCTGTTGCATTTGTATTTACGTTACAAATATATTTATCTGGCTTTCTACCTTGAGGCTCTCTTACTTGCAGCATGGTCTTAATTACAAAACTAAGCAAACTCATCAAAACATTCTAACATAATCAGAAAGCCATAGCACAGTCTTTGTCAGTGAATATGATTTCTTGTAAAGGTATCTACTGTTTGCATTCAAATGCCAGGCAAAGAAAGTTCCTTCAGCCACCATCTACCACTGCTTGCTCCTCCAACTCAAGATGAAGCACTCGTATGAATTCTGTTGGTGCTCCATCTGCGCGTTTCTACAAAAGTCTGTGCAACGAAAGAATTAAGCAAGGTAGAATTTAGCTCATAGGTCCTTGCATTGGGCTTAGTTCATCAGTTATCACATAAACCTTTAAAACATGAAATAAAAGTTGCTGACACAACTTCCTTGCTTAGGGTTCAGTTTCAATACTCTGTCTTCCTGTTCTATGATTTATACCAAAAGACTGCATGGACCTTACTGATGCAATACGGTATGTCTGAAAAACTAGAATACCTTACACCCCACTATATGGCAAAATTACCCTAGTACAGCTAATTAAGACCCATTTCATTTTCTGCCCTTAAATTGCAATAATTTTCAATTTATTTTAGATATTGTTAATATCACTTTAAAAATATCATACAGTCAGAGCTCAGCTTGCAATGATATTGACTTTGGATCTCTTCCCCTTTTCTGCAGATATGGTCATTAGAGCCTTTTCCAAAATCATGTAAGCATGTCTATTCACCGTCCCAGCAAGCAGCTGGAGATACAAGCAGGGCAAATTCAAATAACATGCTCAATGTTTACAACTTTCTCTATGTTGTGCAACTACCATATCACCTTCTACTTGCTGAGGAACTCTAGTTCAGGAGTTTAAATACTATATAGTAACACTTTTCTAATGATCTAGCAACTCCTTATCAGTGCCAAGCATCTAAGAGAGCGCCCTTTACTGTCTTTCTGTAGATTTATCAGTGTTTGATTGAAACTGACATTTCTGAGATTGTGTTTTAAGTAGGAAAAATCTCATTTATTTTCTATTAGTATACTTTCTAGTGTTTCTTATAAGGAAAATCACATATAATGTGATAAAGCAGGGCTTTCCTCTTTTTGAGGCTCTAACTTAGGAATAAGATGGGAGCCAACAACCCAAATTTGCAACACAGCGTCAAATGATGTCCTCGAGACTTCCAGTTTCTCTTTTCTGATACCAACTTTGATCCTGGTAGTCTCGCCTTGTGTGTGAACTCATTATCCACGCCGCAAACATTCCTCGTTGCTAATGCTTGAAAAGTTTTTTCATTCATTTTCACTGTTTTTGCAGAGTTGTGTAATCATTGAATTCCACTGGAACTCTAATAGCTTTAACAAACATTTACATTTTAGAATAGAGTCTTCAAGCCTAATGATCTTCAAGCTCTAAAGATTATGGGAACTCTTCAAAAGCAAAAAGACTATCTGAACTTCCTTTAGGGTGTTTCTACAAGAGAAGTGGAGAGCTTCACATTCAATAGAAGTTTTCTATAACAAAGGAATTTCTCCTAAATAGAGCTCTCACAGAAGCATAAGCTAATGGTTCTATTCAACTTGGCTCTGAATGCACGGCATACAAACAGCATAAAAGTTATTCTTTGTAAATGTGATTAAAAAGAATAGTTTAGGCATTTCATACTGCAACCTTACCATCTCGCCTGTTGAGCTTTGCAAAGCTGGGACTGAAGAGCTCAGAGGAACTGGTAAGGGCTGTTGAAGGTAAGGGAGATACCAATGCATCATCACAATTATCTAAAAAAAAGGCAAAAAACAAAACATACAGAGGTTATCACATGAGCAAAAAATATGCCAACTTATGCTATCTTGAGGTGGTGTTTGTTTCTACTTGGTAAAAGAGCACATGTACTTGAATTGATGTGCGAAACTTACATTTACCATTTACAGATAGGAGCTGTTAAGATACTGAATATTTGAAAAGCTTGCAAACGTTTTCCTTTCAGAGAACCCGATTTGATGGTCTACCCTCCCTCCTTCATTCCTTACCCAAGCTCACTCGCATGTATGAATTAGTTTTGTTTGCTCAAACGAGTAGTCTACTGTATCTTTCCCCTCTCACTTCCGCATCCTCATTCGAGGACAAATGGGCTAGGCGAACACTCAAGTTGAAATTTTTGAGCCCATAACACTTCAATTATAATGAGCCAGATTACATTAAAATATTTTTCATCTCTTTCTGCAATGGGTCTCTACAAAAGCATCCAAGCTGTTCTAATCAAAATCTATCTCTATAAGAAAAATCAGTGTAATGAATGTAATGCACATCAGTGCATTGACTGATGGACCTCAAAAAGCAAACTTAAGTACAAAATCCTTTCCATCTCCTGGGTTACCATCAGCAAAAAGGCTTAACAAAATCTGCAAGTTAAACAAATTAAGAACAAGTATGCTGCTGATATTTTGATCATGGGCATAATTAGCCAACAAAACAAGTTACCAAGGTCCTGAGCAGATTCTCTATCACTTACAGCGTTTAAATCTCAAAGAGAACTTATGACTGCAATGCAGAAATGTCTGCAGAGTGCCACGCTCCCTGATACGCATCAGATCAGGCCATAATTGTTCTGCCTGGACTTAAAAAAAAAAAATCTGTAAATTAAAATGAGGCTTTTAAATTCACTGCCACTTCTGACCTGAACAGTAATTTAAACAAAGATCTCAAATATTAAGTACATTGGGACACCAAATTCACCCAAACTTATGTGTTCTACAAAACCCAGTGGAGAGGTTGGGAACCTCTCAAAAGGAGGTTCAAAGTCTTAGCAACAGATCTACATGACTATCCAGCATCACTTAAAACTAGAATTGAAAATAACTGGATACAGAGATTTCAATATAAGTAGTGTCTAGACTGCTGGCTCTCTTCAGTTCCCTGTGGTTGCTTCAGGACCAGGAGACAACTCACCATGTCAGCCTGTGATCCACAAGTTGGCTATGGCAAGAATCACAGTGACAATCTCTGGGTTCTCACTGTTCCCTGATGGTGTGATTGGATATTTATGGGACACCAAGTGTCTCAGCACAGCAGCAAGTGTAAACATTTCAGAGCAATGCATTTAAGGTTTTCTCTGGGATCTCTGGAGGCTCCAGCCTGGGAAGTGACAATTAGCTCTTCTAACTACCAGATGCTTTGTCTACATTTCCACATCCTTTGCTTCTGTCCCCAGATGCACTCACTTGGATCTCTGCTACAACAACATTACAATGTCATTTTCACACCAAATTCTGGGATATTTTTTTTTGTTTTCCTCAACAAAAAACCCACTACTGCCAGAGATCCTTCCCTGAATTCATATCTAACTATAAAAACATGTCATTTCAAGGCATCAGGGCTTAGACAGCATTAACCATTTGGAAATAGTTCTGAGAGCACCAGGATCAATACAGTCCAGCTTCTGATAGATAAGAGAGTAATGATTGATGGACTTCAGAGTGCAAGCAAGAATTTCCTCCAAGTGAAGTTGATTCTTGAATGGGTACTCTGACAAGATGCAAAATCACTCTTCTGCCTTTCCCTCAGTCAAAATTCACCTTGCAACACTGGAGGTTGCACTGAACAGCTTTACATGCACAGATCTAGAATACAGGACATGGCACAGCTTTTACATACCAAATGAAACGTCCAAGTGCAGTACAGTAAAATGCTTACGATGCACCAATTAACTTGTACACGTACAATAATCCAGATCATATGCAGAGCAGCTCTCATTCATCCCTTGTCAGAGATGGTACACATATGAGCTGTACAGATTTGAGATTGATATCTCTTTGTAAAACTTTGTTGAAATACAGCATGGGGTTCAAAAACATAGGATGTGCACATAAAGAGAGGATCACTCCATAGAACCTGCTTCCCTCACAATGCAGAATTGAAAAAAAAAAAAACAAACACACACCACCAAAAAAACCCAAAACAATTCCATAGATCCTGCTTCCCTCACAATGCAGAATTGGAAAAAAAAAAAAACCAAACACACACCACCAAAAAAACCCAAAACAACAAGCAACAAAACCTAACACATACACTTCTCAAGACTGCAAAACTCTCTAAGAAAGGATGTTATTATTATATTTCCTGTTTTGATGGGTGCAGATAAGAAAGACAAAACATCTTGTGCTTATGCAAGCTCAGGGAAGATCCATGGTAAAATCAAAAGCAAAGCCAATGTATCCTGATTCCCACCACGCAATCCCAGTAGCTACATCTCAAAAGATTTTATCTCCCTTGCTCAGTGTGGCAAAACCAGGCCTCTATTCCACCTGCTCCCAGGTTTCTAGTTTCTGAACCTACTCCTTTTGCCTTGGAAGTCTGAATGTTAGAACAAGAACTTTGCTTCTTTGAGTCAACTGCATTGTGTCTATTAAAAACTTTTTTTTTTAACAAAGAAAATTGCACATTACAGAATCATTGAAAATAACTGGACACTCAAAGAAAAGTGTTTCCTAGACAGTTGTTTTCTTCTGTGTTTCCTTGCTGATCAGACAATTAGTAAAAAAAAAAAAAAAAGAAGAGTGTCTAATTGTAGGTATAAGCCATCTTCTTCATGAAAATCACATAACAATACAGATGTTGACTCGTATTTGATAAATGAGTTCTGACCTTGACTATGCTGAGTTCTGAGAAACACGCAATTATGGTTAACATTTACAATGTTATGTGTGTTACTAGAACTGTCATCAGCAATCTTGCTTCTGAAATGCGTGGTCAGCAGGTCGAGGGAGGCGATTCTGCCCCTCTACTCTGCTCTTGTGAGACCCCACCTGCAGAACTGTGTTCAGCTCTTAGGTCCCCAACACAAGAAGGACATGGAGCTGCTGGAGAGAGTCCAGAGGAGGGCCACAAAGATGATCCAAGGGCTGGAGCACCTCTCCTATGAAGACAGGCTGAGAGAGTTGGGGTTGTTCAGCCTGGAGAAGAGAAGGCTCCAGGCAGACTTAGCCTTCCAGTACCTAAGGGGGGCCTACAGGAAAGCTGGAGAGGGACTTTTTACAAAGGCATGTAGTGATAGGACATGGGGTAATGCCTTTAAACTGAAAAGAAGGTAGATTCCATTTAGCTCTAAGGAAGAAATTCTTCGCTCTGAGGGTGGTGAGACACTGGAACAGGTTGCCCAGAGAAGCTGTGGATGCCACATCCCTGGAATGTTGAAGGCCAGGTTGGACAAGGCTTTGAGCAACCTCATCTAGTGGAGGGTGTCCCTGCCCATGTCAGGGGGGTTGGAACTAGCTGATCTTTAAGGTCTCTTTCAAGCCAACCCATTCTATGATTCTATGAAATGAAGAAAAATATTTACCTGTATCAACTCGATTTTTCTGACTTTTATTCACTTTTGATTTCTAGAAAATAATAATAAATTAACAAAAAAAATTAGAAACTCACCAACCTATTATGAAGTTGTTTGGTTTATTGGTTTTGATTCCTTTCTTGTAGTTTTAATTGCCCTTCAAGTAAAAACAAGGGGAAAAAAAAAGAAACCTTCTCTTCTCCTTCCCTCCATTTTGTATTTTCATTTGTCCAAAAATGTATTTTCATTTTGTCCAAAACCATTTCTTTAAAAATACAAATATAAATGTTATCAGTTCAAAAGCATCCAAGTGAGATTTAGACACTAAAACTCGTGGGCTCTTTTGAAACATGCCAGATAATACCAGCTTGAGCTAATAGTCCATAAAATAGTGAACTTCAGAAAAGCCCTTTTGCTCAAATATCTAATAAGCTCTATATTTTATGAAGGCCTTCAACACCTGTGATATGTATGAAAAAATAAATGAAAAAAATGTATTCAATTCCCAGAGAGACAGGATTTCAAATGCTTCTGAAACACAGCTAGTATGTTACCAAAACTGAGTTGCATAGAAATCAGAGACTCAGCCCAATTTTACTAATTCTTCAAGTACCTGTTTTACTTCAGTGTTGCTAGGCATAGCATGATCCAGTTTATAACTTTCTTCAAGTTTGGGATAACATCAGTGGCAGCAACCAATATGAATTTAGATTTCTGATTAGTAGACACTAAAGATATTTAGAAAGTCATAAACCCCCAAAACCCCTTGTGATCACACTAACGTTTCTTTCACCCTGCCCTTTGAAGAGGATCAATCCCTGGAACACAGGCAGGGTTGTTACTAGCCATAACTGAGATTTGAACTGCTTTTAGTAGCACTGTACCCTCACCAAGACAAACGTGCAGAAAATCTTTGACTCCAAAGCTCACATCACTTTTTACCTGATAGTATATTGCTAGTCAGGAACTCTTATCGGTATGATAAGTAGTACCATACTTACACCAACTATCTCATATCACCATAAATAGAAAGTATGTGATGAGCCATAGTAAGACTGTGGTCTATACTGCAGCTACTCCATTAACGACCATAAGCATCATGAAATAGTCATAAATGCCACAACAAAAAAAAAAAGCAGTACCCAGAGTAGGAACATGGGACTAGTATTGCTCAACAACGCAACTGAAGGAAGGGTAGGGAAGAGGACCCAGCATGCAAACAGAACAAAAATTGCCTCCTCTTTGCAAAATATACAAATTGGAGAAGATGAAAAAGAAGAGAAAATTATAACCCAGAAACTGGCGTGGGTAGACACTACAATGGAGTTCAAAAGAGGAATTCAGAAAAAGATAAGTGACATGTCTCCTGCATCATCCCACAGTAATAAAAGGGTTTTTAAGGGAAGGTAACTGCCTCCCGTAGGTGTTTTTCAAGCACACAGGGCCCGG